AGTCACTGTGGGAATTCTGCCCAGCTCCTTGGTATTTCCCAGCCCGTGTAGACCTTCATACACACACACACACACTGTGGGGATTCTGCCCAGCTCCTTGGTATTTCCCAGCCCGTGTAGACCTTCATACACACACACACACACTGTGGGGATTCTGCCCAGCTCCTTGGTATTTCCCAGCCCATGTAGACCTTCATACACACACACACACACACACACACACACACACACACACACACACACACACACATACATACATTGTGGTTTCCTAGCTCATTTGTGTGTGACCCGTGTGGACTTTGAGTGCCCAGAAGCAGACTTCTCAGAATAGTCTCCTCTGTACAGTGGCCCCGGCTGGGCAGGTTGGTTCCTTTCCCCTTTGAAGGGAGCCAATTTCCTCCGCCCCAGCTCATCAGTCACAGCAACGGGTCCGGAGTTGGCGGAGCGCCACTCAAGAATGGAGGTGCCCTGTTCCCAGGCTCCGCACGCAGGCCCTGGCTTGTTTGCGCGGCGGGGGAGGGGAGCGCCAGGGCTCTGTTCCAGGCTGGCTTCGCTCCGCGTTGGTTTCTGGCCCTCACAGCTGTGACAGATTTACTCCGGACTGGGGAACGGGCTGTGCCCGCGCCACAGAAATCACCTGGGTTCTCGGCTGGCAAGGCCTGGGGCTGTGGTGCCAGTCAGGCTGGAAGGGGCCCATGCCGGAGCCCCCGCCAGTGCCAGGGCGACTACCCCTTTGCACACAGCTGCTCTAGCTGTGCGCCGCCCCCAGCCTTCGGGTGGTGCCTGTGAGACAGGCCGGAGCCACGGCCACAGCGCGTCTCCCAAGGCCTGGCCCGCCGCCCAGGCCACACCGTCTCCCCGGGCCGCCGCCCGCCCAGCGACAGCGAGTCTCCCGGGGCGGCCGCCGCCCCAGGGCCACAGCGCGTCTCCCAAGGCCTGCCGCCCAGGGCACAGCGCGTCCCCACAAGCCTGGCCGCCCACCAGGGCCACAGCGCGTCCCCCGGGGCCGGCGCCCGCCAGGGCCACAGCGCGTCTCCCCAAGGCCTGGCCGCCCGCCCAGGGCCACAGCGCGTCTCCCGGCCCGCCCAACCGCCCAGGGCCACAGCGCGTCTCCCGGGCCTGCCCGCCTGCCCAGGGCCACAGCGCGTCTCCCGGGCTCGCCCGCCGCCCAGGCACAGCGAGTCTTCCCCGGGCCGGCCGCCGCCCAGGCCACAGCGAGTCCTCCCGGGGCCTGCCCGCCCCAGGGCCTACAGCGATCTCCGTGGCCTGCCGCCGCCAGAGGCACAGCGATCTCCCGGGCCGGCCCGCCCCCAGGGGCCAGCGAGTCTCCCCGGGGCTCCCGCCCCCCAGGGCCACAGCGTGGTCTCCCTGGGGCCCCAACCGCCAGCGCCACAGCCGAGTCTCAACCGGGCCGCCCGCCCGCCCAGGGCCCACAGCGTCAGTCCCGGGGCCGGTCCCGCCGCCCAAGGGCCACAGCACGGTCTCCCGGGGCCCGCCCGCTCCAGGGCCCACAGCGCGTCTCCCCGGGGCCCGCCCAACCGCCCAGGCCACAGCGCGTCTCCCCGGGGCCCGCCCGCCCAGGCCACAGCGAGTCTCCCCGGGGCCCGCCCGCCCAGGCCACAGCGAGTTCTCACCCGGGCCCGCCGCCCGGCCACAGCCGCGTCCGGGCCCGCCGCCCGCCAGGGCCACAGCGCGTCTCCGGGGCCTGCCGCCCGCCCAGGCCACAGCGCGTCCCCGGGGCACGCCCGCTCCGCCCAGCGCCACAGCGCTTCTCCCGGGGCCCCCGCCGCCGCCCAGGCCACCAGCGCGTCTCCCGGGGCCCGCCCGCTCCCCAGGGCACAGCGGTCTCCCCGGGGCCCGCCAACCGCCCAAGGGCCACAGCGCGTCTCCCGGGGCCCGCCGCCCGCACAGGCCACAGCGCGTCTCCCGGGGCCGCCCGCGCCAGGCCACAGCGAGTCCCCGGGCCCGCCCACCCAACGCCAGGCCACATGCGCAGTCTCCCCCGGGGCCCGCCCGCCCGCCAGGCCACAGGCACGTCTCCCGGGCCCGCCCAAATCGCTCCAGGGCCACACGCGTCGCCCCCGGGGCCGCCGTCCTGCCCAGCTGCCAACAGCACTCCCCGGGGGATCGCCCAGACCTGCCCAGGGCCACAAGCAGTCTCCGGCGGTCGCCGCGCTCCAGGCCAAGCGCGTCGCCGCCCGTCCCAGGCCACGCGCGTCCCCGGGGCCTCGCCGCACCGCCAGTGGCCACATGCGCTCCCGTGGGCCCGCCGCCACTCCAGGCACAGCGCGTCTCCCGGGGCCCGCCCCAGGCCACAGGCGCCGTCGTCCCCGGGCCGGGTCTCCCAATACCGCCCAGTGCCACATGCGCGTCTCCGGGGGCGGCCCAACCCGCTCCAGGGCCTACAGCGCGTCTCCCCGGGGCCCGCCTGCCACCCAGTGCCACCAGCGCGTGTCCAAGGGCCGCCATGCCCAGCGGGCTGGGCGCCCACCCCGCTCCCCGGTTGCGTGTGTGGCTGACTTCCTGGGCGTCTTTCGCCACCGTGTGGCAGCTGCTGAGCACTCAGTAGGAGGCCCACACGGGTTTCGCAGCCTCCCCTTCTCCTCCAGAAACACAGCTTTTAGGCCCTACTTAGGAAGGCCTTTCATGTTCTCATTATGGTTCATTAAGTAAAAGAAAAAAAAAGGAAATAAAAATAAGATTAAGTAAAATTTTTTTTAAAAAAGAAAGGCCAGGCCGGGCGCGGTGGCTCACGCCTGTAATCCTAGCACTCTGGGAGGCCGAGGCAGGCGGAGGCTCAAGTCAGGAGTTCAAAACCAGCCTGAGCAAGAGTGAGACCCTCCTCTACTATAAATAGAAAGAATAATTTGGCCAACTGATATATATAAAAAAAATAGCCAGATGTGGCATCCCTTGTAGTCCCAGCTTCTCGGGAGGCTGAGGCAGGAGGATCACTTGAACCCAAGAGATTGAGGTTGCTGTGAGCTAGGCTGACACCACGGCACGCACTCTAGCCTGAGCAACAAAGTGAGACTCCATCTCCAAGAAAAGGAAGGCCAAGGCCATTTCTGGGCTGTCTTCCTCAGCACGCCCCACTTCCTTCAGGCTTAGAGGTAGCAAACTAGAGTCAGAAAAACTTGTTTAGCAGCTACTTTTGTCTCAAGCCCTGGGTTTTTTTGTTTTCTTTTGTTTTTTAAAGACAGTCTCTCTGTGTTGCCTAGGCTGGTCTCTAACTCCTGGGCTAAAGGTATCCTCCCACCTCAGCAGCTCCTGGTTTTGGCTTAAGGTGTATATTACTGATTTTAAAAAGGCCAAGTTGTCTAAGGTTGCTTTTATTCACACGTTGCACGAAAAGGGGAAAAAACAAGTGTCAAAACCACAGAATTATATCTTCAAAGTCTGTATTTGGGGTGCCTTTGGGCAAGGGGCAGCGAGGTGGGAAGGTAACAGCTTGCTTTTTAGAGAGGCCTCAGTGCCTGTTTTTCTTACTGAATGTTTCCAGAAGGTGTTTGTTGTGGGACATGTGGGGTTCCACCTGGCTCTCTAGCCGTCGCCCAGGCCACTGCCCTGCCTCTTGCTTTGTCCTGCGCCCAAGGCGTGTCCCGGGCTGGCCCTGTAAGACGATGATGTTTGCCCTCAGCTAAGTGCCTTCATGCTGTTTGTCTCAAGAAATCCTCTGCGCCTGGGAAGTCCTTGAACCCGTTGTTGATTCCAGTGGCTAATTCCAGATTTTTCAGGGAGCCGTGTGGAATCCCCATGTTTCCAGGTGCCCACAGTTCTCTGCCAGGCTGCGTTTTTGCCTTTGCAGCAGCAGGGGTGACCTTCAGCCCCAGTGACGTTGTAAGGGTCTCCGAGCCTCTCTGTCTCTGATCTCTTTTCTGTGCTAAACACATTGTTCAGGCAATGGCCTCAATTTTACTCTTCAGTCAATCTTTTCATCCTCAGTGCTTTTTTTAAAAAATGTGAAAATCAGCCCACATTCTTCATTCTGCAAAGCAAGGGTTGCAAGAGAATAACCCTGTGCCTTCCTGCAGCTCTGTGTCTTCCAGAGGCAAGGACATCCTCCGTGTCCCTGGGCACTGAAGCCTCGAGGCAGCGCTGCGCCTGGGGCGGGGTGCAGGGGAGTCTGGGACCCTCTCTCCCCGACGCTTGGCATGGTCCGCTGCTGACTCCTGCCTCCCTCGCGCCACCCTGGCCCCGGCACTGCGCAGTGACGGTCGGGCTGCGGACCTGCAGCCGCTCCAGGCACTCTGGCAGCCCAGGAAGGCTCTGGCAGCCCTTCCGGAAAGTGGGAGGTGGTGGGGCACGGTGGTTAAGAAGGGCGACCTCGGCGCCTGCTTCCCGGCTCCAGTCCCAGCGCTTACATCTCATCAGTTATGTGACCTTGAGCAAGTTTCTTAGCCTTTTGGAGCCTTAAAATCCTCATCCCTAAAATGGGATTAGGCTGGGCGCGGTGGCTCACGCCTGTAATCCCACCTCTCTGGGAGGCCGAGGCGGGCGGATTGCTCAAGGTCAGGAGTTCAAAACCAGCCTGAGCAAGAGCGAGACCCCGTCTCTACTATAAATAGAAAGAAACTAATTGGCCAACTGATATATATATAAAAAATTAGCCGGGCATGGTGGCGAATGCCTGTAGTCCCAGCTACCCCGGAGGCTGAGGCAGAAGGATCGCTCGAGCCCAGGAGTTTGAGGTTGCTGTGAGCTAGGCTGACGCCATGGCACTCACTCTAGCCTGGACAACAAAGCGAGACTCTGTCTCAAAAATAATAATAATAATAATAAATAAATAAATTTAAAAAATGGGATTAATACCAGTTCTTCCTCATGGGGTGGTTGTGAAGGTTAAATGGGACTGGGCACATCAAGGGCTTGGTACCATGCCTGCCACTCGGTAAGGCTCAAAATAGGGCCATTTATTAATATCCTGTGGCAGCACTGCTTGACCTCGGGAATCCAGGGTCTGAGAGTCTCTGACCACCTGTTGCCTTCTCTCTGTTCAGGGTATCAAAAAACCATTCACTGAGGTCATCCGAGCCAACATTGGGGACGCCCAGGCCATGGGCCAGCAGCCAATTACCTTCCTTCGACAGGTGAGCTAGCCTCCAGGAGCAGAGGCTGGGAGGGGCTGGCATGGGTCAGCCCCATGGGTCAGTAGGGTCGTCGTCTGCCTCCTTGTCCGTCCCACCCCCCAGGACGCAGCAGGCCCCAGCATCCCATAGGAAGGTGCCGGCAAAGTTGCCCCTGCGGTGCCGGATGCCCTCTGGTTCTCTCCCTTGGCTTCCTCTCTTTCCAGGGTTCTTGAAAATTCCTGAACCCATTTTGGGGTTGCTCTGGTATCCTGAGAGCTGAGCTTGGCTGGAAGGGCAGCAGCAGGGTAGGGAGCAGCCCAGGGTAGAGGCAGAGACCCCCAAGCTGGGAGATGGTGTTGGGGGTGGTCGTGAGGCAGCTTCTCAGGAAGACGCCCCCGGTTTGAGTGTTGACTCTGCCACTTGGGGGGGGGGGGCTTTGGAGCAGTGGAGATCATGAGAGCGCTGCTGTGGTGACGGAGCCCTGGCCAGCATAAGAGCACAGGAGGCTGGCAGCCACTGGGTGCTGCTCCCCTGGTGGCCTCCACAGTGACCCGGCTCCCTCCCAAGGGCTCTAGGAGGAGGCACGCATCAGTGTTTAGAGTTTGAGCACCAAGCCCAAAGGTGCCGCATGGGCCAGAACTGGGGAGTGGGGGGCTGGGGGGGCGAGCAGGGCAGGAGAAGCCTCAGGGCGGCCTGGACAGAAGTGTGGGACTAGGAGACCAGCTGTGGGAAAGCTTTTACTGGGAGAAGGACTGAGGCCTGTTTTAGACCAAAATATGGTTAAGGTTCACAGACTGGGGTGGGGAGGGACATTGAGTACTGGGCATGCCTGTTCCCTTTTCCCTGCCTCGCTTTCTGGGCCAGAGGGCTGAGAAGGGCTGGGGGGCCTCAGCTCACAGCCTCTGAGGGAGTTCATGCAGGGTCCTGAGGGAGAGGCCCAGAGGTTGCCGCTGGTCTGAGGAGTGTGCACCGTGCACCCGTCCTGTAGCCACTGCCCCTGCCCTCAGAGCAGGCCAGCTGCCCGTGGACACGAGTCCCAGGTGGAGCCCAGGGAGGGGAAATCTATGAGACCAAACAGAGCAGCTCTGCCAGGGACACGGAGGCGTGGGGAGGTCAGAGGCCCGATTGTCCTGGAAGTGTGGGCTTTGGAGAGGGGCCGAAAGTGGCCTCGCTTGGCAGGGATCCCCACGAATGCCTGAGGCTCAGCTGGTCACTTGGCTGGTGTGAGAGCCCTGAACCCGACCCTACAGCGCACCTGGGTTGCTCCTAAGCAACCAGTTTAGACTTGCCCGGTGGGGTTTACCGGCACTTCTGCACACATTTTCTTGCTTAATCCTCTTAATCTGGGAGGTTAGGGTGATCTTCTCTGTTACAGAGATGATTTTCAGCTGGGGAGGAAAGGGGACCAAGGGCCTGGTGGGGAGCGCAGGCTGTAAGGAAGGTCTGTGCAGCCTGTTCCTGTCACCTAGGTCTCGCCTGCTCACCCAGCCCAAGCCCCCCGCCCAGGAGACCCTGGTTCTTGTCCTTGGTGCACTGTCCTTTGTGGGAGAGCGGGCCTCGGCCGAGTGGAGCCTCACTCCACTCCTTGGCTGCTCTTTTGGCAGCCCATGCTTGGCCCCAAGCCCAGGTCACAGTATGTCCTGACTCCCGGCATCTCCCCTTCTCCTGGGAGAGCCTAGTGTCCTTCCCACCCACGCCCGAGCTCCCGCAGACTGAGCCTTGTGGAGAGCTGTGCTCCAGCACTGTCCCGTGGAGTTGTCGTCTTCCCACTGTCCTGCCCAGTGTCGAGGTGCCCCTCCTGGGCTCTGGGAGCGGGGTGCTGGGAGCCCAGCCTGTACCTTGTTCCCCCAGGTGATGGCACTCTGCACCTACCCAAACCTGTTGGACAGCCCCAGCTTCCCGGAAGATGCTAAGAAACGAGCCCGGCGGATCCTGCAGGCTTGTGGCGGGAACAGCCTGGGTGAGGCACAAATTGTCAGGTCCCCGAGGGCATGAAATGAACCTGCGGTGGGCTGAGCCCCACCTGCGTGTTGGATGTGCATATGAATGAGTGGTGTGTGATGGGGGCAGGCCTGCGGAGTCAGTGAAAATAGTATTCCTCTTCTCACCTGCCTGTCAGCCTCTCACTTACTAAGGTGGCAGTGCAAATGCGATCTTGGTGACTGGGACACTCTGGGCGCGTGCCTGCACCTTGCTGGGTTTGGGTTGGGCACTGGGAGCAGCTTTGTCGCACGGCCGAGCCTGCCTTCCACGGAGCGGAAGTTCCGACCCGGCCTCGTGATGGGAGGAGAGTGGAAGGGCAGTGTCCAGTCCTGTTCAGCATTCTTATCTCTCTGTGGCCCCCAGCTCTGAACTGTCCCCGCGTCATCTAGGAGGCTGTGGCCGGTTGCTGGGGAAGGCAGCGCCTCAAGACCCCTCCGGCCCCCCTTTGTGCTCTCTTCCATCTGACTGTGCTAGCCCCCCCCCCCTTCGAGCTCCCGTCACCGGGCCTCACTCTCGCTTTCCTGGGAGCCCTGCCAGCCGTCTGCCTGCAGACAGGCTCAGGCCCCAGAGGACTTGGGGAAGGAGGGCCTGGAATCTGCCATGTAAAGTGACTTGTCTCTCCCTCCCCTGCGAGCTGGGCTTTGAGCCTCTGGCCTTTGTTCTCCTCTCACCTCCTCTCCTGCTTGTTTTGCCCCTTCCGTCACCTTCGCCCTCAGGGCTGAGTCCTTCACAGAGCTCTCCTGGGGTGGATGAGCTCAGAGGAGCTGGTTTCTTCGGCTTGCCCAGCAGGGAATCAGCCCCTCTGATGTCTCTGTCTTCTCCCTGTCTTTCCTCGCCTTTCTTTGCTGTGTCCCTTTATTGAGAGCCTCTGATTATCTTCCTGCCTGTGGTCACCCCCAGCCCTCTCCCTGAGCCTGGGCTCTGTCCCAGTGGTGGCCCTCCCCGGAAGGACTGGCACCCTTCGCTTGCCTGCCTGCCTGGCCGCCGGCTCCTCTCCCTCCTGTGCTCTCTGCCTGGCCCAGAGGACCAAGGTGCTTCTCGAGGACCATGGCCCGAGACTCCAGGAAGCCCCAGCTGGAAGGTGGGGCAGGGAGTGGGTGGGATTTGCCTTCTGGTCGTCTGATGTGTGTGTCTGGGCACCCTTGTCCCCTGCACTAAGCCTGACCAACAGGTGTGTGCGGCTCCGCGTCAGCCTGAGCCGGGGTGGCAGGTTGGGAGGCTGTGTCCGTGCAGGCCCCTCTTCGGGTGTTGCCCAAGGAGCCCAGTCGGCCTGCGAGGCTTCTTGACCCACACTGAGTTCTACCCAGGGTCTCATGAACACAGGGGAGGTGGTTGCACTCTGGGCCTTTCTCCTCATCCTTCAGCTGGGAGGTCTCTGTGCCCACCGCCTGGGCTTTCACGGAAGGCTGCCGTGTGTAAGCCTCTTGCTGGGTGTGGAGAAGCCCCGCCCCTGGTCACTGCCAGCCTGCCCGTGGCACCAGAGGGGCAGCGTGACCCTCCCCACGCCGGACGTGGGCCTCGTGCTCTGTCAGCTACGCCATGAGCAGCACTTCCTGCCCGTGAAGGTGAAAGGAAATGGAGTGTGTCACTGTGCCCATGGCCACCCTGGCCCAAGTGGGGATTCTTAAATAGGTACGCAGTCTTGACATTCACTCGGGACATGTTTTTATCATGTCCTTTAAAATTCCTGCCAGAACTTCATTTATTTTCTGTTTGACGAGTAATTCGGTTCTCAGGTTGTGTCCTGGATCTTTAATAGGATTGAGGTAAAGCCTAGCACCAGCTGGGGCGGGTGCCTGCCCTGTCGAGCCCCCCAGTCACACACGACAGCATGCCGGGCGCTGTCCTGGATATTCGGGGCACTGGCAAATGTGGCGGGTGGGGTTTCTGTGCTCGCTGTCAGATTTGGGAGAAAGTTTAACAGAATTCATGCAAATGCGTAGCCCCCAGTTGTTCTTAGAGAGAGCTGTAGGATTGTAACAAGGGATTCTAATGCAGAGAGAGGGCCACAGAGAAAGTGGCATTTGAGCTCACTCGGAACTCAAATGGGACCTGCGACTGCGTGCGATACTGAGGGGGACAGTATGTGCAAGGCCTTGAGGTTTGGGGGCTGAGTGTGATCGAGTGAGGGCGCTGGTGCGGGGTGTGCAGTGGCAGCGATGCTAGTTCCAGGCCTGGGCCCTAGCCCGCACCGGGCCCTGTGCAGGGCGCAGCGAGGTGTGGCGAGCAGAGGGCTAGGTGCTCTAGCAGGGCGCAGCGAGGTGTGGCGAGCAGAGGGCTAGGTGCTCTAGCAGGGCGCAGCGAGGTGTGGCGAGCAGAGGTGCTCTAGCAGAGGCGCATGGAAGAAAGAGGTAACAGCCGGCCCTAAGGGAACTGGCAGTCAACATGGGCGGAGGGCTTCCTCTGTCTGAAACAACTGGGGAAATGACCGCCGGGAGAGAGGCTGGGCTGGGGCAGACTCTGTTAGGGCAGGCCCCTGCAGACAGACTGGAAACAGCCCTGAAGAACCTGTGCTGTTCGTAGCACGACAGAAGATCTAAAGAGAAAGAAGCCCCGGAGCTGCCTCAGAGGGTGGACGGTCTGGACTTGCGATGGTGGAGGTCTGGGAATTAAGGAAGTGGCTGTGCTTGGAGGCAGGACAAAGGGGAGCCCTTGACTGCTGTGGGATAGCCAGGCCCCAGCGTGGAGAGCAGGGCCTTGAAAGAAGGTCAGGGGAAAGAAGGGAGCCCTGGAAATATCTAATCAATTACCTAGTTGGAAAGCATTCTCTAACCCTAGCATTGGCACCTTCCCCTCCTTTTTAATTTACAAAATACTTTAAATGTATTAGAATACCCAAGAAAATGTAACAAATGTTCCTGTACCTCCCACCCAGAATTGATACTCATTAATGTTTGTTGCTTGACACCTCAGAGTCTTGGTCCAGCGCCCTCATAGCTAGTCAGAGGGAAAGGGGTGAGTCTAATGCTGCACAAAGAGGCTGAGGCAGAGCCAGGGCTTTTCAGTTTAGAGCTTTGAACCTTGTTCTTCCTGGATGCCAGGCCTGAACTGATCCATGCTGAGGCCCCAGAGAAGAATCTGCTATTTTTCAGAGCCCTATCTTTCCTCCTGGTGGTGGTTTTGTGGTATCAATAAATGGAATAGACTGGGGGTTTTTTTAATGCATGAAATCCAAAAGGTCTAAAAGGGTATACAATGACTCCCACCTCTGACTCCTAGTCTCCTGGTACACTTCTCCAGAGAATTCACCTCACCAGTTCGAGTCTTCCTCCAGAGAGATTTTGCACATGTATAAGTACATATTTCCTATCTCTTTTTTCTTTTCTTTCTTTTTATTTATTTATTTATTTATTTTTGAGCCAAGATCTCACCCAGTTTCTGGGCTAGAATGCAGTGGCATCATCACAGCTTACTGCAGCCTCAAACTCCTGGGCTCAAGCAATCCTCCTGCCCCAGCCTCCGTAGTAGCTGGGACTAAATAAAGGCCCATGCTACCATGCCCAGCTAATTTTTTATTGTTTGTAGAAATGGAGTCTCACCACATTGCTCAAGCTGGTCTTGAACTCCTGTCCTCAAGTGATCCTCCTGCCTCTTCTTCCCAAAGTGCTAGGATTACAGGCTTGAGCAATCACACCCAATCTTCCAGTTTATTTTATAAACATAAATGACTGGGTGTGGTGGCTCATGCCTATAATCCTAGCACTCTGGGAGGCCAAGGAGGGTGGATCCTTTGAGCTTAGGAGTTCAAGACCAGCCTGAGCAAGAGTGAGACACCGACTCTATTAAAAATAGAAAAAAATTAGCTGGACAACTAAAAATATATAGAAAAATTAGACAGGTGTGGTCAAGCATGCCTATAGTCCCAGCTACTCAGGAGGCTGAGGCAGGAGGACTGCTTGAGCCCAAGAGTTTGAGGTTGCTGTGAGCTAGGCTGACGCCATGGCACTCTAGCTCGGGCAACAGAGTGAGACTCTGTCTTGGGGGGAAAAAGAAAATCATAAATGGTGGCCTGAAATTAAAAAATAAAAACTTTATTGAGGTATAACAAACATATTGGTGCATTTTACCAATATTAGTAAAACACAGCAATATTCATGTATAGCTGCAGTAATTTTTACACATGTGCACACCTGCGTAACCTCCCAGCCCCACAGTAGTGACCTATGTTCTAACTTCCAGCGCTATACATTAATTTTACCTGTTTTTCAACTCCACGGAAATGGTGGCCTGACTTTTAACCTTAAATGGCAGCCCGAGGATATTGCTGACATGGGGGTTGGGTGGATGTGGCCCTGCCTCGCAGCCCCAGGGCTGTGTGGTTGGTTGGTGCTGGGCTGTCAGGTTGTGCTGTTTTGGAGCACAAGTGTTCACCCATTTTCTCAAGTCTCGTGGCCCCATGTGTAGGCACCAGTGATAAAAACATAGGAATCCCAGCTCTAATGGCCCATATTGTTCCAGGACATGTATAAATCCCAGGATGGTGGGTGGAACAAGGATGGACACCACCTGACTAATTAGAAGCCAGGGCTTAAAATAATGTTGAGCATATGGGAACTGGCAGTCAGTATGTATGGGATGGACGGACGGACACGTGGGTGGGTGGGGCAGGCTGCGGAAGGCCGGTGGGAGGGGCAGGATAACCAGGGTCGCCTGGGCGCGCGTAAGCAAGGTGGTAGTGGAGGGGGCAGGATGACAAGGATGGGTGTGGCAGTGGGTGCGACAGGCGCAGGAGAATGGGATGGCTGGGCAGTGGGGGTGCGAGGGAGGATGGTGGGGTGGGCAGGGGGACGGGCGAACGTGGGAGGTGGGCAGGTGGAGGGTGAGGGAGGATGTGTCGGGCGGTGGGAGCGGTGGGGGGGAGATGGGTGGGGTGGGGCAGGGGTGGAGGGTGGAGGGAGGATGGTGGTGGGCCAGGGCTGCGGAGGAGTGGCCGGAGGCATGGGTGGGTGAGCAATCGTGGGAGGTGGAGGCGTAGGATGACGGTGCTGGCCCAGCCGCTCTGGGAGGGTGGCAGGCGGGCTGGAGCGGTCGGATGGGATGGATGGGTGGGTGCAGACCCCAGAGAGGTTACTAAGCAGCTTGCCACAGTTCCAGATCCCAGAGCAGTAGGAGTCAGGCCCCACCTGAGCTCCCTCTACTGCTCTTCTCCACAGTTGCTGCCATGGCTGTCACACTGACCCTGAGCAAGCAGACTTCCTGCCTCTCTAATGTCTGTCTCACTTGCTGTCTTACAGGGTCTTACAGTGCTAGCCAGGGCGTCAACTGCATCCGTGAAGACGTGGCGGCCTACATCACCAGGCGAGATGGTGGCGTGCCTGCGGACCCAGACAACATTTTCCTGACCACCGGGGCTAGCGACGGCATTTCTGTACGCGTGGGGTTGGCTCACATTCGCCCACATGCAGGACAGCCTTGCACGTTAGGGCCACATGTTTGAACCGGGGGAGGCAGGGAGCCAGGCCCAGGCTGGGGAAGGTTGGCCACCCCTCTGGTCTCCCTCCCCTGGTGGCCCGCAGTTCTTGCCCCTTTTAGCCTGGATGCCACCACAGTGGCTTCGATGTGCAAGTGAGGGTGCCCCTGGCCTTTCGGTCATTTGGCACATAACTCGTGTTCCTCCTCCGCCAGGCCCTGTGCCAGGCGCCGGGAGACTGTGGAGCCAAACACGCCATTTGGCCTTTGCCTGCACACTACTGCTGGAGAAGACCGGCGTTGGTGCCACGTAAACGAAGGGCACGTCACAAGCTTTCAGGCTCCCTTCTGCAGTGAAGAGAGGGGCGGGAGCTGTAGGAAGCAGCCACAGGAACCCTGTGCCGGCAGGAGGGCGGGGAAGGCTGAGCAGACTCCGGAGCAGCCGGGAGCGGCAGAGGCCGGCGTGCGCAGAGGCCTTGAGCTGGAAGGAGGCTGGGAGTTGGGACATGGAGAGTCAGGGCGGACAGGCGCACACAGCCTGGACACGGTTACCCGAAATAGGGCTGGGGAGGCAGTGGGCAGCTGAGTCCTCAAGGGCCTTGGAGGCCACTGTGAAGATTTAGGTCATTGTCCTAGAAACAGTATGGAGCCATTGAAGGGTTTGCAGGAGGAGGGGGACATAATTAGAATTATGTTCTTAAATTTACATTGTATCTGGGAGGGGCATTCAGGGAGCATTTGGGAGACGAGAAGAGAGGTGCTGTGGGGTGGGGGTAGGAGAATCCAGTGGTTGCTTGGCCGGAGGAGTCTGGACTCCTGGGCGTGGGGTCCGTGGCCCTCCGTGGCCTTTAGCGCTCCTCCGTGCAGGGCCTGGCTTGGTGCTGGGTGCTGTCAACTTGTTACTCTCCCTCTTCAGGGAGCGACATGCTATCCGATTCCTTCCTTCTGTGATGGGGCTATCTTTGTTTCCGGACTGCCAGGGCTCTTGTCTTTGATGTTTGTTGAGTGAGCTATTCCATTCCCAAAGCATTTCTAATGCATTAAATTCTTGCTGGAGACCGGGAGGAAACTGAGGCCCAGAGACATTCAGTGGTCTGAGTCTGTTCTCAGGCCGGTTGGGATTCTGACGCTGGGGCTCCAGCCCCAGCCACGGCATCTTCCGTCCTCTGCTCTCAGTTCCCAGAGAAGCCCAGTATGGGTGGAGGTCCTGGGCGGAGGGTGTCCACAAGATCCAGGAGAGGAAGGCCCTTTCAGTCTGGTGTTGTTCTCACAGCACGCGGAGTCTGAGGAAGGGCCTGTGCCTGTGCAAGGTGTAGACTCTCCCTGCGGAGGGTTTTGGCTTCTTAATTCAGTGACTTGTTGCCTCCTCCCCTGATATCCCGCAGAGTTCTCATGGCCTGGTTTTTCAGGACTCTCACACGCACGCACTTACACACACAGGCACACGCGCGGTCTGCTCAGCTGTGAAAACAGGCCAGAGCGCCGCCTGCTCTGACCTGTTGGGCATGTTGTCCATCTCAGCAGTGCTGTTGGGGGTCTTTCCAACCATGGGCACTGGCGTTACTCATAAGACAGATTCCTGGGCCCCACCCCAGACAGAGTGAACCAGGCTTACGGGTGTGGGGTCAGAATATTAATAACTCTGAGACAGCCCAGTCTGGGGACTACTGTCTTAGAAGCATTGAAAATAATAGTGTCGAGTCTTCACACATCACACCCCGTAAGAACTTGAAAACATTTGATTCTGCCCACTCCTTGCTCAGTCCTCATTTCAGAGATGAGCAAGCGGAGACCGGGGAGGCGAGGCCGCGTGCACGGTGGCGCTGGGAGCAGGCGGCAAGGCCGCTGGCGAGGGGCTGGGCTGGGGCGGCCTGTCGGCTCCTCAGCTCCCGCGGGGTGGGCGGTGGCGCAGCCGTCTAGATGTGACTTCTCGGTTGCAGACGATTCTGAAGATCCTCGTGTCTGGGGGCGGCAAGTCACGGACGGGCGTGATGGTCTCCGTCCCGCAGTACCCCCTCTACTCTGCGGTCATCTCTGAGCTCGACGCCGTCCAGGTGCACTACTACCTGGACGAGGAGAACTGCTGGGCCCTGAGCGTGAACGAGCTCCGGCGGGCAGTGCGGGAAGCCAAAGACCACTGCGACCCCAAGGTGCTCTGCATCATCAACCCTGGAAACCCCACAGGTCCGCGTTCCACTTCCTTGCCGGTTTCTGGGGAGGCGGGGCGGCTGGTACACTGGCTGTCCAGACACTGAAGAGTTAGGAAGCAGTTCGAGGTCCTCTGTCCCCAGTTTCTCAAACCAGTTCCAGATTTGCTAACAGAAAGCTATAAAAATTGCTGTAGGCCATCTGCCAAGGTGAGCAAACGCAGGCATTGTCTCGGGCAAGGTTGTGTTGCTGCTCAGACCAGGTTTGTTCCTGTTCTCCCTGCGCTTGCAAAGACTCACCTCCCTGAGGTTGTCCATGTACGAACCGTCACCATTAGTCGTAGGCCTCATTTAGCTTCGCTCCCACTTGTTTTTCTAAACCAGTTTTCAGAATGCTGGTGTGTACTTTTTGTTTATCTTTGACAGCATTGCTGTGTACTTTGAGGCCTGAGAAGAATACATCATATTAAAAACAAAAGCAACCAAACTGAAAAAAGAAAAAAAAAAAAGCTAGTTTCCAGAGGTTGAAAAGCACCCAATTTTGCATATTTTTCTTTACAAAAAAATGCATGGTCCTGGCCATTTTCATCTTCCAGGCTGCTGGCTTCATATGCCCCGATGCTGTTTGGATGCAGAGAACAAGGGCTTCTCTCTCTTCCTTTGTTGAGATAAATTGGGTTGAGGCCAAAATGCGTTGGAGTTGATTGTGGAATCTGTATTTTTGGGAACATCAAATGATGCTCAGTCAGCTGCAAGCAGCACTTCCAGAGTGCGGAAAACGGGGGCAGCTGGCAGTAACTCTGCTCATTTACCCTCTCCTCGAGGGAGCGGGTAAGAATCTAGGGTGATGCCGCAGGAGAATGAGAGGGCAAGGTTCCTGATCTTGGTTGGACGTTAGAATTACAAAGGAGCTTTGAAAAAGCTCAAAGACCGGGCCATACCCCCAGAATCTCTGGGGCTGCGCTTTAATAGCCTGTGCAGGTGAGGATGAGAGCTGCTTCCCTAGAACAGTGTCCTCAAACTTGAATTCACTAAAACACAGGCTGGCGGGCCCCACCCTCAGATACTTTGATATAATTGGTCTGGGGCGGGGCTTGAGGGTTTGCATTTCCGATAACTCCCAGGTGATACTTACGCTGGTCCCAGGATCACACTTGGAATAGCAAGTTCCACAACATCTTAGGAAAGTCTCTACCTATTCTACATTATAGAGTCAGTAACTTCTTGGCCAGATGTTTACATCAATCTTTTCGCCAGACTATCTGGGAAGAAATAATCGTACCAGAGACTGTCCTATTGTAACTAAAGGGGCCATCATATATTAATGTAATATTAATATAAGTAATTTTTATAAAAAGTGATTTTATGAGTGGGCAGAGTCTGGTTTTGCTCTTATGGTCTTCAATGTGGGAAACCAGTCAGCTATTGGAAGAAGGACTGTGGAAAATAGAAACCCACCTGTGATGACCAGGTGTCTTGCCTGGACCACACATGTGACCAGTTTGGCCAAAAGCTGTCAAAATGGACTAGGTCATTGAGCCAGGGATCGTGGCACTGGGGTTCAGGGTAAAGCAGTACACCTCAATCACATCAGTGTCTCAGGGACCCCAGTCCTTTCTCAGTTCTGTTCTACCCGGAGTTGGATTCCTTCCTAGGAAGGAGCTATCCTTGGGATGGTCAGCCATTTCCCAGCCTCCGCTGAACCCCTTACAGGAGAGCCGCCTCCATGATTTCACCGAAGTCCCAAGCCACACTGTTTGGCCTGAGTTGGGTCACCTGCCCATTCCTGAGCCAGTCAGATCACTGGGACTCCGGTTGGCCAGGTCTGTCTGTTCCACGCCTCCCATGGGCGTTCCCCACAGGAGGGAGGCGGGCAGGGTGCTCAGCAGGCGCGAGCTGCGGAGGTCCCATCAGTTTGTGGGAAATTCATTTGGCCCAGCCTCTGTGGAGAGGCACTTAGGGACCCCTCTCCAGCCTTTGGGGCCTGTATCAAAGCCTTATCTTGTCTCCCCAAGCTGGGCACACCTGTGCTCTACTCTGACACACACGTGACTGTCCCTTCTACGCGCGACGCATGCCTTTGTCTCCCTTCGTTGGCTCAGTGGACGAGCTCTAAGTGGCTGCTGTGTCCCAGGCACTGGAGAGAAACAAGCTCTGTCCTTATTCTCAAGTTGATGTTGTGTAGGTCAGTGGAATTATTTGCATACCTTGATTCTCATTTCCTTTACTGGGCTGAAGGCATTTTGAGGCTCTGTTTCTTGCTTGGTTCCTGTTCGTGTTCCCTTTAGCATTTAGCAAACATGGTTTTGCATATTCTCGTGCTTGAGTCCTTGCTTGCATTCTAACAAAATGCAGTTTGTGGGATCATGGGCCTGGGAGGGCAAGACTAGGAGGGTTCACAGGCAGGTTCTCCTCCCTAGGTGGCCAGCTCCCACCTCATCTGTGAGAACAGCAGCTGGGCCCTTATGGGAACCAGGGCCTGCCGTTCTCCTGGAATCCAGGAGTCCAGGAACCGTGAGCTTGCTTCGTAAGAAGACCAGTCGGTGCTTGCTTGGCAGGAGAAAAGTTGGTCCCTTAGTAAAGGAATTGGTTCATTACTTAGATAGTTCAAGGTGGAAATCCTGGCTGAATCATACCATGCTCTTACAGGATATATATTTTTTTTTCCAGACATATTTTTAATATTGTTGCATAAACAAGAATATAGATATTTTATCTTTAATAGAAAGGTAACATATTCTACATACCTCTTTGCATCAAGATGTATATGTGGGCCGGGCGCTGTGGCTCACGCCTGTAATCCTAGCTCTTGGGAGGCCGAGGCGGGCGGATTGCTCAAGGTCAGGAGTTCAAAACCAGCCTGAGCAAGAGCGAGACCCCGTCTCTACTATAAATAGAAAGAAATTAATTGGCCAACTGATATATATATATAAAAAAATTAGCCGGGCATGGTGGCGCATGCCTGTAGTCCCAGCTACTCGGGAGGCTGAGGCAGAAGGATCACTCAAGCCCAGGAGTTTGAGGTTGCTGTGAGCTAGGCTGACGCCACGGCACTCACTCTAGCCTGGGCAACAAAGCGAGACTCTGTCTCAAAAAAAAAAAAAAAAAAAAAAGATGTATATGTGTACATATACAAATAATATATGTTCATATATATACACATGTGCACACACACATACATACATAATACATGCAGATATACATAGTAAAGAAATGTGGCCTTTTTAAAGAAATCAGGCCTGATCATGGCGGTGCTTTTCCGGAACCATTGTGAGCACATGGTTCCAGTGAGCGCCACACTCAAAGCAGTTCTCGGGAAGCGTCGAGGAGGGTCCCATTCCCACCCTGTGGGCTGACCCTCTCCCCACCTGCACTCGTGGCATACAGTCTCGCTGTTTCCACTCATTTCTCTAACATGGATGGTGAGTGTTTCCTGTTAGTGTTGACTCAAGTCCCAAAGACGGAGACGGCCGAGGGGAGCAGGAGCGCTCACTGTGGTCACTAGCGAGGCCGAGCGCCCCGGTCGCAGCCGACGGGGTGCCAGGCTCGTCCACTCAGCGTGCGTTCCATACTTACTGGCCGAGCCCCTGCCGAGTGCTGGCCTTGAGAGGTGCTGAGCCAGCACAGGCTTGCCCCTGCCCGCGGAGCCCGCGTGTCCCCGCTGGGGAGAAGGCGGGCGGAGTCCCCATGGACCGTGCGTCAGCCAGCGGGAGTCTCCTCTGCTGCTGCTGCGTAGGAAGGGGGAGCCGGGCTGCCCGACTGCTCTTTGTGACGTTTCCACGCCTTCCATCCTGCCACGCAGGCACGCCAGGCGCACACGCATGCATGCACACACGCTGTAAAAATGACAAGGTCGGGGTGAAGCGCCGCTCCCTCCGCACGCCCCACATGCCTGCCTCGAGCGGCGGACAGCCGCGCCGACCCTCTGGGCCTGCAGGTTGACTGCGCCGTCAGGCACAGCAACTGGGAGGGTGACCTCTTGGGATCTTGAGGGAACGCAGGACACCTAAGTGATTCTGGGTGGCATTCTGACCCAGGGGCAATTAAACAGCAGTACAAGTTACATTTTCATTTTTTTGGGGTTTTATAGGCCAGGTACAAAGCAGAAAGTGCATAGAAGATGTGATTCACTTTGCTTGGGAAGAGAAGCTCTTTCTCCTGGCCGATGAGGTAAGAGCAGCCCCGTGTCGGCCCGCAGCAAGGTGGGGATCAGCTTCCCCCAGGGGCGGATCCAGACCTGACTGTCCTACAGCCGGGGAGCTTTATTGGTGGTGGATGAAGTGAGTCGTGGTGTGGACGTGCAATGTGACAACCTATGAGACTGACCGAAATTATCCCTGTGTTTGATTGGACTCTTAGTTATAAATTTCAAAAATTTAACCTCAATCACTCTAAACTTAAAAAAAATATATATGATGGGGTCCCAGTTACATATCTGGATCCAGGGACTCAAACCGTGTCTTCCAGACCTTCTCTCTCTGCCGTCTCTCTGTGCTGGCCTCATACCCAGACCTTCCCAGCCTAGAAATTCCCAGTGGTTTTTGTCCTGGTGGTTCCAGCAGAAGTCTCAGAGCTGAGCTTCATTGGTTCAGCTTGGGCCACTGCAGAGCCAATCACTATGGCCTGGGAGTTACCAGATGCAAATTGGCTAGGTCCAGGCTGAGGGGTGGGGTCTCTGCCCTGTCCCCCCAAACCTCCAGATGGGCATCAGGGGAGGTTATTCCCTGAGGGCAGATCAGAGGGCTCTTGCCCAAGGGGGAGAGTGGGTGCCCAGTGGCAGGGGCAGCGGACGCCCGCTCAGCAGCCTGCAGCTGCGTCCCTGTGCTCTGTAGCTGCCGCCTCGCTGAGTCCTCACAGCCCGTGAGGACGGGGTCTCAGGGAACCTGTGACTGTTGCTTCTGGAGCTGAGGTTGCTCGTTTGTTTTCTGCTTCGTGAGAAATGAACAGGGTCGCCCAAATCCTGTTTTCACTTCGTATTCCTTTCTGCATGGCTCTGGCTGGCTGTAGTCTGGCACACTGCCTCCATTTCTTCACTGCTCGCTCCTCTCACAGCTCACCCACTGAGCCGTCGTAAGTGACAGTAGATGGGCCTGAAACCTTTATTTCTAAAGGAGAGAAGGAGCTGCAGAGGGATCCATGACCTGGTACACAAACCTGCGCCCAGGTTGTGACCATGAGCAGGATGATGGCAGGCTCCTGGGCAGATGGAGCCAGCCTGAACCCCCCCCTGGGCCCCAGAATGCCTCAGTTTCCCTGATCCTCCAAAATGGATGTGAGAAGTTAATCTCAAAGGCAGAGTGGGGCTTGCCCACCGAATGCTAGATCCCGGGGACCAAGAAGAACCGGCCAGGTGTGGGTGCTGCTGCAGCCGTGGAGAGTGGACGGGAAACCACAGGCCTGCAGACTGGGCGGTGTTGTAAGGAAGCCCTGCAGGCTAGCCCTTTGAATAGAGAGGTTGGAGAAAAGGGACATTAACTGCTGTCATTATTAACATTAGTAAAGGACGTCAAGTCGTGCGTTAGGAGGAAGATTTGCTTGGGAAGATGGGAGTCCTTTATCATCACTGGTCAGCTGAGGCAGAGAGGGGTCCGGAGACCAGACAGGACTAGATGTGGGAGAAACTGAGTGAGCTCCCCCAGCCTGCAGCCTTGCCTCCGTGCTTATTCTGGAAAGTTCCTTCAGGCACATTCTGGCGCGTCCCTGGAAGCGGCATTGGAGGCTGAACCGACCGTCCCGGGCTGCCCATGGCCTGATGCAGGTCACCTGTGCCTGCCTCTCCTCGGGCCCGGAGGGCTGCATCCCCACAGCAGCCTGTGTGGGCTCGGTCCTCTCGGAAGCACACGTGTGACTGTCATGTCCTCCTCTGCAGGTGTACCAGGACAACGTGTACTCCCCAGACTGCAGATTCCACTCCTTCAAGAAGGTGCTCTATGAGATGGGGCCCGAGTACTCCAGCAGTGTGGAGCTGGCCTCCTTCCACTCCACCTCCAAGGGCTACATGGGCGAGTACGTCGGCCTCGGCCCCTGCTGCCCTGGGCCCGCCGGGCACTGCGGCCTTCTCGCCGCCTGCTCCTCTGCCCTGCCTTGAAGTCCACCCACGCTTGTGGAGAGAAGGCCACCCATGTCTGTGGCTTGTGTCCATCTAGGAGCAGGAGGACGCAGCTGCACCTCCCCGGAGGGAGAGCCCAGGGGTCGAGAACAGCCCTGGTGCAGGGGCTCAAAACATAAGGCCATGCTCGAAAGACACCAGGCCATGGATGAGCTGAGGAAATGAAAACCGCCTCACAGCAGCTTTTCCCGCTGGCTGTTTTCTGCCAGCCCGGTCTCTTGCTCCAGCAGTGCCGTCCGAGGGGCCGGGGCAGGCTGGGCGGACGGGTGCTCTCAGGCCGGCGGGCGCTGGGCGGCCTCGGAGGCTGGAGGCCAGCCGTGGCCCCGTGCTTGCTCGTGCGGCCGGTGCCTGGGAAACGCTCGCGGGTCGAGTGCTGGTCTGAGCGCCGCGTGCGCGGCGGCCCTGCCCTGCAGAGCCCGGGCCGAGCGCGGAAGGGAGGCAGGAGACGAATGGGCAGAATCGAGCAGAATCGTGTCAGATGGAAGCAAGTGGTTAGAGAAGACGCAGGAGAGCCAGGTGGGGTGGGGCCGGGCGGAACGGCTCGGGCTCACGGGCTGGCTGCGACGCGGGGACCCACAGGAGGGAGGGGGCGCAGACACCTCAGGCCACGTGTTCCAGGCAGCAGGGACAGCAAGTGCAAAGGCCCTGAGGTGGAAGCGCTCCTGACATGTTGTGGGGCAGCCAGGGGCCGGGAGGGAGTGAGTGAGGGTGACAGGGCAGGAGTGGAGACCAGGGGAGTCCCAGGGGGCCAGACCACCTGGCGACTTGGGCACTTTTCACTTTTACCCGAGCACGATGGGAGCCCTTGGAGGGCGTGAGCCCTTGGAGGGTGTGACCTCCCCCACCGGTGCTTTGCCGGGCTCCTCATGGCTGCCCGTGGCGGCGGTGGGGCGGCGTGGGGCTGTGACAGCCCTCCAGGCGCGGTGCGGCAGGGGAGCAGAGACGACAGGACCTGCCGGCAGGTGCTGGCAGTAGACGGGCGTCGGGCGCGCCACAGGCTCTGTGCAGACAGGCGTGAGGGCGGCGGTGCCGCCAGCTGGGAGAGGCCCCGCTGAGGCAGGCGGGAAAGCCAGCGTGTGCGCGGCGCGTCAGACTTGGGGTGCCGGCGCGACGCCCAGCTGGGGCGAGCGTCCACGGCGGGCGGCCGGGGAGGAGGGAAGAGGCTGGCGGCCCAGGGCGGCGTGCGGTGCCCGGCCGGCGCGGGGGTGCTCCTTTGCCCGGCCGCAGAGCGGCGCGACCGGGAGGCTGAAGGAGCGCTTCGGCGGCCCGGGCGCTGCCCTGGGGTGGCCGCGCAGCTGCTCGGCCTCACTTGGCGGGCGGCTGATCCGTGCTGGCGCCCCCCGGCGCCGGCGGCGCTCCTTGCTAGACTCCCCTGTGCTGAGCAGCGCTTTCCCCAGTGTCTGCTCCCTGGAAACTCATTTTCGAGCTCGAGCGTGTCCCGTGACGGATTCGCGCACGGCGCCCTGGGCTGCGTGCCGCGCTCACCTGGGCCCCCGGCCGCGCTCACCTGGCCCCGCCCAACGCCACCGCTGGGCCCCGCCGCGCTCACCTGGCCCCCCGGCCGCGCTCACCTGGGCCCCCGGCCGCGCTCACCTGGGCCCCCGGCCGCGCTCACCTGGGCCCCCGGCTGGCCGGTTCACCTGGCCCCCGGCCGCGCTCACCTGGGCCCGCGCCCGTCAGCAGGGGTCGGGCAGGAAGTTCTTTCTCTCCATCTTTGTTGCGAGAACCCTTTCTGAGATGCCAGAATTTATCTTCCTGCCTTGGGACATGCAGTGCGGGCGTCGGAAGGGAATCTCTCCCTGCCAGTTCAGTCCAGCAGCCGTCGTGCCCGGTGCTCTGAGGCTGGGGTGGGGCGCACAGAGGAAGGTCCCTGCCTCGGTGAGCCTGCGCTTCTGTGGCATGAGTCTGAGCACTGCGGCCACAGACAGGAGGCATGGCTCCAGAGAGCGTGCTTAATGTTGATTTGATTTAAAAAGATTTTCTAGCACCCTGGGAGGCTGAGGTGGGAGGATTGCTCAAGGTCAGGAGTTCAAGACCAGCCTGAGCAAGAGCAAGACCCCGTCTCTACTGAAAATAGAAAGAAATTAATTGGCCAACTAATATATATACAAAAAAATGAGCCAGGCATGGTGGCGCATGCCTGTAGTCCCAGCTACTCGGGAGGCTGAGGCAGGAGGATCGCTTGAGCCCAGGAGTTTGAGGTTGCTGTGAGCTAGGCTGACGCCACGGCACGCTAGCCCAGGCAACAGAATGAGACACTTTCTCAAAAAAAAAAAAAGCCGATTTGAAAAGATCTTATTTTTAATTCATTGCATGTTCTCAGCTTATTTTTATATGATGTGAAAGTATCAATCAGGATCCTTTTGGCTATAGATTATACAAATTCAGCTTGAACTGCCTTACACCATAGAGGCATTTTTTTTTTTTTTAAATCCATGTTTGTAAAAGGTCCAAAGGTAGAGTTGAATCAGGGCTTTAAATATGTCAGTGGGAGCCTGACTCTGCCTTCTTGCCTTGTCTGGTTTTCTTTCTCAGCTCTGTTCTCCCTTCGGGTTGGTTTTGTTTTCAGGCAGCAGAAATTGTTGTTTCCAAAGTCCTCACGCTGGTGCTCCTTGGCACCGGTGCGTCTCGAGCCCGCGCGGGGGTGACACCAGGCCCTCTTTCTGGCAGGGGCCGGTGTGTTGCTTGGGCTCAGGCTGTTTCTATAACAAAGAGGCCGTGAACACAGTGGCTCGGCCAAGGCGGGAGTTGCCTCTCTTTGACACAGGCCGAAGGTTGGGATAGTCCAGGGCAGGCACTGCCCCTTGAGGTCATTCCAGGACCGGGGCTGGCAGCCCTGCCTTCCCAACACGCGGCGTCCAGCAGTAGCACTGGTGCTGCGCAGCATCCCCGTTTCCCAGGAAAGAGGGAGGAGAGTGCATGCTCTTTCCTTGTAAAGAAGTGAGTCGGTGCCTGTCACTTCTGTTCACTCGGCCGCACCTGGCCATTTGGTGTGGGGGAGATGCAGACTCTGACGGTGTATTTCTTGAGGTCTTACTGGAACTGGTGGTCCTGTCCCTCTCCTCGACCCTCCAGGTGTGGCTACAGAGGGGGCTACATGGAGGTGATCAACCTGCACCCCGAAATCAAGGGCCAGCTGGTAAAGCTGCTCTCAGTGCGTCTGTGTCCACCAGTGTCTGGACAGGCTGCCATGGACATCGTCGTGAACCCCCCGGTGCCAGGAGAGGAGTCCTTTGAGCAGTTCAGCAGGGTGAGTCAGCTGTGACCTGCCCGCTTCACTGCTGCCGCCGGGGGCCTAGTGAGTTCCAAGTGGCCAGGAGGCAGCCTCCAGGCGTGTGGCCTCCAGGGCCATGTAACCTAGAAGTTAGCTCCCAGCTGCTCTAGACTCACATCTTTTTTTTTAATGGTGGTAAAGTACACATAACAAAATTTATCATTCTGATCTTTGTAAAGTGTGTGGTTCAGGCAGCACAGACAGTCGCACTGCTGTGCAGCCACCACCGCCATGCGTCTCCGGAACTTCCCTGTCATCCCAAACAGAAGCTCCATGCCTACTAAGTACTAGCGCCCTGCCCCCAGCCCGGGCAACCACCCTTCTGCGTTCTGCCCTTACGAAGTCACCTATTCTAGATACTTCATGTGAGTGGACTCATGCGGTATTTGTCGTTGTGATGGGCTTGTTTTGCTTAGCACAACGTCCTTCAGGTCCATCCACGATGTGGCCTGTGTCACGATGAAGGCTGGCCGTATTGCAGTGTGCGGCCAGGCCACGCCACGAGTGCCCACTCATGTGCAGGCTCACCTGTCACCCTCCCGCAGTGGCCCCTGCAGCCACCGTCTAGCCTCGGCTCTGGCTTTGCACACAAGTCCAGTTCCGAGCCAGTCACTGGCCCTGATTTACTTTGCCTGGGCCATGTGTTCCACGCACAGCAGACAGAGTGGGGAAAGGTGGGCCCCCCAAATGGAGTGGTGGGGCCCATTCCCGGGGAGGAGCCGTGTCTCCCAGAGCCAGGTCTAGGGTGTTCCATCCAGAGCCAGGCCCCTTGAGACCGCCAGGCAAGGTCTGGCTTTTCTCGTTTTCAGGAGTGACTTCCTGGTGCACAAATAGAACCCATGACAGGGCTTCCCAGGACCTGCCGTGTGGTCTGGAACTCCCCAGATATTTGTGTGCTCCACGCCCCAGGGCACATGGCAGCCTGTTAGGCTGAGCACCGTGGACGCAATTCCTGCAGGGAAGCACGTTCCGCCCGCTCCCTGCCTCGGGCACACACAGGCTCCTCTCGCCAGTCTGGCCGGTGGAGGCTGGAGCCAGTCTTCCTGCAGAAATGCCGACTGCCGTGCTTCCTGTCTCTTCAGGAGAAGGAGTCGGTCCTGGGTGACCTGGCCAGAAAAGCAAAGCTGACAGAAGACCTGTTCAACCAAGTCCCGGGGATCCACTGCAACCCCTTGCAGGGCTCCATGTACGCCTTCCCTCGAGTCTTCATCCCTCCCAAGGCCGTGGAGGCGGCTCAGGTCTGCAGCACGGGGTGCACGCGAGACGCTGGGGCGGGCGCCGCTTGCCCTGGGGACTGGGGCTGGTGCCAGAGGCTCTGAACTTGGTCCTCAGCCTGCTGGTGTTTCCTGCATGGAGATGACGGGTTCTCAGAGGCCCGGCCCGCCGCGTGCGGTGCTGATGGGGCGCACTGGGGGCCGCCCCAAGAGAGCTGCAGCTCTGGAGGGAGGTGCCCCGTGAGCCCAAAGCTGGGGAAGCAACGGGAGCCGTCCCCTCCACCCGGCCACCTCGACCTGCAGCCGCGCTCCTCAAGCCTGCGTGTGCACACCTGGGGCTGTGAAAATGCCAGTTCCGGTCCACGGAATGTGCAAGGGCTGGAGAGTGCACTGCCGACAAGTTGTCAGCTGGTGCCGCAGGCCCCACTTGGAGGGGCAAGGGCAGAGGGGTGTCCTCGCCAGCCCCAGGCTTCCTGAATGCCTCGTGAAGCACTCGGTCTAGGCCGCATCCCAGCACCCCAGAGCTGCGGGATCAGAGTCCCGCTGCTGGAGCCTGGGAGTCTGCGCTTCACAGCCCCGCGGCCCGGCGGCGGCTGCGCAGGCCGCGTGTGGGGAACACCAGCCACAGCTGCCCGGCGGAGCTTGTTCCCTGAGAGCCCCACCCAGACCTCGGCCCGTGGTCAGAGCGTTCCGTGGCGTGGCGTGTACGAAGCGACCATGTTTGCGAGCTGCTGCCTGGGATGGGTAGGAAGGCAGTGGACAGGTAGTCCCGTTCCCTGCACCAGGCACCCGCAGGCCGCGGCGCCCTGGGCTGGGGGTCTCTTCAGGAGAGGAGAAGGCACGGCCTTTGGAAAGAGAACCAGCCATCAGGGTCTCCGTTTGGCTCTGAGCTCTCACTGGCGTGCTTGTGCCATGTGGAGCCGGAGATGAGTCCTGGTCTGCCCTGCTTCCTCCCGCAGGCCCACAAAATGGCCCCAGACATGTTCTACTGCATGAAGCTCCTGGAGGAGACTGGCATCTGCGTTGTGCCCGGCAGCGGCTTCGGGCAGAGGGAGGGCACCTACCACTTCAGGTACGACTTCTTCTGTGCACCTGGGCTGGTCCCGGCTTTGTCCAGGGACATTGGGCTTCTTGACGTGGAGCGCGAGGCTGGCTTCAGAGACGGGCTGTGGAGCCCCCGTGCGCCCTCGCGGTGCAGCCCCACCCTCCTGCCCCATCTGTCCTGCCCCGGATTAAGGGAGGCTGGGTGGGCTCTAGGGTCCCGTCCTCTAAGGGGTCTTCCTGGCGACTGTGTCTCCACCGCCGCCACCCGCCCGCCACCATCTGAGACGCCCGCAGCAGTGTGTCTCCTGTATCTCCCTGTCCCTTTTAAACTCACGACATCCGCTGCCTGGCAGGGCTGGCACCGCGGCGTCCAGCCACACCTTGGGCCACGGCACTGCCCGCGAGCGACACGGCGAGCCGGGCAGCGTGCTCTAGGTGTCCCCTGCAGCAGACGTCTCGGGGGACGCAGCAGCCCGGCCTCACCTCGGTCGAGACTGCAGCCACGTCCCCAGCGGGCAAACCGAGCCAGGGGCGTCTGGCCCGCCGCAGGCCCGCCTCTCCAGCCGTGGCTCAGTCTCAAAGCCGGTGGTAGAGGGCTGCCCAGGCCACCGGCAGGCTGGAGGGAGGTGTTAGTTACCGTGGCAACTGCGAGTTCCATCGGTGACCAGAGGTCGCTGTCAGAGACTGACTGGCGGGGAGGGAAAGGCCTGTCCAGGCGCGAGAGCCCGCTGTCCCCGGCCCGCCGGCGGCCTTCTGCAGTGCGCGGCGTGTCCGGACGCCCGCGCCAGCCGCCACGTGGCACGTTCGTCTTACGCTGGGGTACAAGGACGTGTGAGAGGGGCAAGTGGCCTCTCAGATGCTGGGCACCGTGCAGGGGCTTTCAGAGTGGTGGGACAGCCCTGTCCCCACGCCCCAGGCTCCCCCCTCACAGGCGAGACCGCTGCCGGCGTCACCCCTCTCCCCTGCCAGAGCAGCCGGGCGACGCTCTCTCTCTCCCGCCAGGATGACCATCCTCCCTCCCGTGGAGAAGCTGAAGACGGTGCTCCAGAAGGTGAAGGACTTTCACATGAAGTTCCTGGAGAAGTACGCGTGAGGCGCCTCAGGCCCACGCGGGGAGACCCCGGCCTCGGCCCTTCCCGCTGCCCACCCCGCGGGCTGGACTCGCCTCCCCGTGGCTCTGCCTGGGGCCTCCAGAGGCCCCTGGTCGCTCGCACCATCGCTCTGCCCCAGGGGACTTCTTGCTTTGTGCCTTGACCTTGGGAGCGCTTCTCTTCTGGGCAAGCGAACGCGCGATGTCGCGGAGATCTCGTTTTATTTGATACAACCGCAGTAGAGGGAACTTGCTCCGCAGATGTGGCCAGGGTTCTCTGAATATGTCACTGTTTTTGCTTTGGGGTTTTAGACAACCAGGGTGTATTGGGTGAGAGTACAGATCTGGAGAAAACAATCAGGTGTTGGGAAATGTATGACTTAGCCATGGTGAGGACTGGAAACCCGAAACTCACCAACGTGATCTGTGAAATAAAACCCTCAGCGGTGTGAAAATCTAGTCCTTGGAGTGGGAGAGCCTGGAAGTCCACCGGGGGCTCAGTGAGGGTCCACCCTTCTGGCCTGGAGACAGGCACCTGTCTCAGGAACGGGAAGGGCAGCAGCACAGAGGGACAGGTGCCAGACTAAGCTGTGGCAGACACGGGCTGCGGCCAAGGTCACAGGGTCCTGCGGGGCTGCGGGTTGAACCTCTTCTGAGCAACAGAGCGGGTGGTGAGAGCTGCGTACACAGGCTCTGGAGGTGGAGGGCTCTCAAACATGCTTCGGCTGGGACCCCTGTCTGAGAGGTCTCCCCAGATCCCAGGGACAGAGGCGCCCAGCAGTGCCGCAGGCGCGGATCTGTCCTGCTGATTCCCCAGTGACAGCTCTGGACCAAGGGCTCACTCGAGCCTTTACACACATCGTCCCCTGCGGGTAGCAGCAGGGACAAGGAAGGACTGGAAATGTCCTAATCTGGGCAGGGAGTCCTCAAGGACCTGATCAACAGTCAAGCCCCTGCAGTTGCTCAAATTGCTTCAAAACTGAGTTCGAGCTGTTGCCTTGCTCTTGATTGGTAGAAGTGCCTGGTAGCTCGGCTGCTGTGGGGAAGTAGTGAGATCTGACTCGGAATTTATTAAAGTGTTTTAATGCAAAGTGTTTTGCCTTCATGTGAGCTGCTGGCCCTCCTCCCCGGCTTGCAGACTCTGACCTGCATCCGTCGTGTCTCCAGGAGAGGAGGGCAGCAGCCGCCCAGCGGGCAGCGTCCCCGGCCTCAGCAACACGGGCGAGGGCCCGCGCTCTGCACACGGGCGCTGCGGGCAGCTGCGGCTCCGTCCTCTCTCCCTTTCCCGGACCCCTGCCTGCGCCCTCTGCCTTCCCGCGGGGAGCTAGGGAGGCCAAGGCCAGCTCAGGAGTCTGGGACCCAGCATGTCCAGAATGGAGGAGAAGGAGCCCGAGAGAGAAGTGCGAAGAGGCCGTGGAGCGAGGTTTGCACGCAGCCTCCGGTGCCGCGCCCACGGGCCTGTGCGGGAGCCGCAGACCGGCTGCTCTGCTCGGAGCGGGCCTTGCGGCCCCTAGGAAGACAGCAGCTACAATCTCAAATAACAAAAGGGAATGTTTTGAAACTGTTTCTTCCTTAAAAATGGAAACAATTGCATTTGTGCTTGCCGTATGGTATATAAACCAGGAGGTGTCCCAGAGTCATGAGATTGCTGGTGGAAAGAGTGAATAGTAGAAGCTAGTATATTTTTTATATTTTTGTAACAGTTGCTTTTTTCATGGGGGAAGGGCATTAGTATTTATAGTCTTAACAAGCCCAATAATTTTTTATAAATCTCTTCACATTATAAATAACCCCTAAAAATTTGCAGCATTTACACGATTTTCTAAAGGATGTGCATACCTTTGGTTTGATTTTAAAACAAACAATGCCAGCTCGTTTAGGAGGCCAACTTCAGGCAAGAATGCTGGCCCTGATGGATTTGCTGCTCTGCAGATCCTATTCCGGTGCCGTCCCTGTTTGGGAACCAGCCGGGAGAGCTGTTTGTCATCTGGGGCCAGACTTTGAGTCTGCACCTGCGAAGCTTCTCGGTCCTCCAGATGGGCGTGCGGGGCTGCGCGGTCGGTCCGTCAGCCGCGCCTCCAGGCCGGCGGCGCTTCTGTTCCCGCGCGCTGGGGAAGAGCAGACTGCGCTGCCGGGCCGCCTCCCCGCGGGCTCTCCCCCCCCCGCGGGCTCTCCCCTCCCCGCGGGCTCTCCCACGGCTCTTCCGCGGCCTCCCCACGGGCTCTCCGCGGGCTTCTCCCCGGGCTCTCCCGCGGTCTCCACTCCCCGTGGCTCTCCCCCCGCCCGCGCGGGCTCTCCCCACGCAGGTCTCCCTCCCCGCGGGCTTCCCATCCCCGCGCTTCTCCTCCGCGGCTCCGCTCCCCCGTGGGCTCCCCCTCCCCGCGGGCTCCCTCCCCCCACGGGCTCTCCCTCCCCGAGCGGTCTCCTCCTCCCCGTGGGCTTCCCTCCCCGGGCTCTCCCCTCCCGCGGGCTCTCCCTTCCCTGCAGGCTTCTCCTCCGGGGCTCTCCTCCCCCGCGGGCTCCCCTCCCCCGCGGCTTCCTCCCCGCGGCTCTCCTTCCCCGGGTCTCCCTCCCAGGCTCTCCTCGAGGCTCTCTTCTCCAGCGGCATCTCCTCCCGAGGCTCTCCTCCGCGGGTCTCCTCCCGCGGGCTCTCTCCCCCGCGCTCTCCTCCCGCGGGCTTCCCGGTTCTGACTGGTCCTCAATGGATCGTCGCTGTGACTTTCTAAACAATAAATACATGTCCAAATGGTGCTGTGTTAAACTTTCCTCGTAACTTCAATCTAAAAATGATTGAAAGCATATTTTACGTCTTTTATCTTTGTGAGAGTTAAGTCCTTGGTGGAATTATGATGCCTCTTTCCCAGCCCGTTCAACAACTGCAGTGGTAGCTGGCAAGCTTTTTTTTTTTTTTTTTTTTTTTTTTGAGAAGGTCTCACTTTGTTGCCCAGGCTAGAGTGAGTGCGTGGTGATCAGCCGCTCACAGAACTCCAATCCTGGCTCAAGCAATCCTCCGTGCCTCGAGCCTCCCAAGTAAGCTGGGCTACGGCATGGCGCCCCATGCCGGCTAAATGTTTATTTATATATGTAAGTTGGCCAATTTCTTTTCTTTATAGCAGAGTGGGGTCTCGTTTGTCAGGCTGGTTCCAAATCGCACCTGGAGCGATCCTCCATGCTCGGCCTCCCAGAGTGTAGGAAATGACAGGCGTGTGCACCGTGCCTCCCCAATTGATTTGATTCTGGTTTGAAATTCAAAAGTTTTTCCACCCGCCAGGCGCGGTGGCTCACAATCATGTTTTAATCCTAGCAATCTGGGAGGCCAAGACCAGGCGGATGGCCAGTCCGGATTCGGAGCGCCTGACAAGAGAGACCCCGTTCATTACTATAAAATAGAAGAAATTAATGGACACTATATATGATTAGGAAAAAATTGCCGGGCATGTGGCGCATGCCTGTAGTCCAGCGACTCGGGAGGCTTGAGGCAGGAGGATTGCTTGAGCCCAGAGTTTTGAGGTTGCGCGTGAGCGAGGCTGCACGCCAGGGCACTCACTCTAGCTCGGTGCAACAAGCAGACTCTGTTATAAAAAACAACAAAAAAGTTTTTTCCTCTCAAACTAAATTCTGTGATTAAGAAAGTGAAAAATATAAAAAGAGGAAAGTCGGGACTCCTGCCGTTGGAGCGCTCAAGGCAGCGCAGGCAGAAGTGGCACGGGTCGCCTCGGGACGCAGGTTCGGTTCCGGGTTCGCTCTGAAACGCGGCAGGTCCTGTCCTGCGGCTCCGCCCGAGCGCGGGAAGGGCTCCGGCGCCCAGCCCGCGGAACTGGACGGCAGGGTGCAGAGAGCTGCGAGCGCTGGCCGCCGCGTCCGCAGGCTGGCGCCCCCGCGTCTCCGAGCCCGCGGACGCGCGCGGCTGCGGGACGGCGGCGCGGCTGCGGGACGGCTAGGGCGCGCCCGTCGCTCGGTAATTAAGGTGGGACCGAACGGAACGACACCTGCTGCGCCAGCTGGGCCGGGCGGCTTCGCTGCGGCCGCATCTAGACCGTCGCCGGCCACCGAGCCAAGGCCACCAGGCAGGCAGGGCCGAGGCGGAGCAGCGCGCGCGCGAGGCGCGCCCAGCCGGCCGCACGCCCCGGCTCAGGCAGGCCGCTCCAGGCACCGCCGCGCGTCCGGCAGCCGGCTCCAGGCCCGCCCGCTCCGGCACGCCCGGCTCCGGCCCCGGCTCAGGCCCGCCCGGCTCCAGGCGCCCGGCTCAGGCACGCCCGGCTCAAGGCCCGCCCAGGCCCGGCTCAGCCGCGGTCGGCCGCCGGCCCGGCGCCGCGGGGTGTTTCCGCACGCGCGTTGTCGGCCTCTTTTCCCCCGCCCTGCGTTCGGCCGTCGCCCTGGCCCCGAGCCGGAGCACCCAAGAAAAGGAAGTGAGGCTGCCAGCCTGCAGACTCCAGATTCTCTTCCGAGTCACGGGTCAGCTGAGATTCTAGAATATTTTACCTCCCATGTAAAAAAAACACGGTTCTTTGGTCTCCCTTCCCAATTTCTTCTGCCTTTGCTCTTAATCAATATTGGGATCTGTGAAATCCTTTGAAGATATATAAAATTTTAAAAATTAAAAGATCTCACAGCTAATAAAAGCATCCAACTGTCTCTAAAAAAAAATAGAATCATTCTTACAACATTTGGCGAAACCAAAAGTTAATTAAAAAATGAATCCAGATCTTAGTGATGGTTGAAAAGCTCAGAGCATGAAAGTGTATGTTCAAAAAGTGTGAAACGCTCAAAATGTTCTACCATCGGAAACATGTCATTTGGAAAAACTAAAAATGAAAAAGTTAGGGAGCAAATGTAAAACTCACTGTTACCTTTTAATCAGACAGAGTTAATTAAGTCTGACATTCTGGTTTTTTTTTTTTTTATTTTCTTTTTTATTTTTTTTATTTTATTTTTTTTTGAGACAGAGTCTGCTTGTTTCCAGGCTGAGTGAGTGCCGTGCGTCAGCCTAGCTCACAGCAACCTCATACTGGGCTCAGCATCCTCCTGCCTCAGCCTCCGAGTAGCTGGACTACAGGCATGCACCATGCAGCTAATTTATATATTGTTGCCAATTAATTCTTTCTCTTTATAGTAGAGACGGGGTCTGCTCAGGCTGTTTCGAACTCTTGACTCGAGCAATCCGCGCCTCAGCCTCCCAGAGTAGTTAATAGGCGTGAGCCACGAGCGCCGGCTTGGGTGTTTTCTTTACTGTCCTTTTCCGGAAATTTTTTGTGGTTGAAATGTGTGTGTGTGTGGTGTGTGGGTGTGTGTTGTGTGTGTGGTATGTTTTGATCATAACTCTCCCCTTGACATCTGAATAGAAAACCTGATGCACAGTTGCCGTGGCTACCTCATCAATTCACGGGATGACTGTCATTCAAGTTGATGGCGCTCTTAAGCATCTAAGTTGAATGCGTTCTTTGGTTTAAAAAGCGCTGGGCTGCGCGTGGACTCACACCTGTATCCTACACCTGCGGAGGCAAGGCGGTGGATTGCCCGAAGTCAGGATTGAAACAGCCTGAGCAAGAGCGAGACCCGTCTCTACTGTAAATAGAAGAAATAATTGGCTACATATATTGGAAATATTACCGGCATGTGCCGATGCCTGTAGCCAGCTATGGAGCTGAGGCAGAGGAGTCGCTTGAGCCAGGAGTTGGAGTGCGATGAGCTAGGCTGACCTAGCACTCATCTAGCCTGGCAACAAAGTGATCTTGTCTCAAATATAAAATAAAAAATAAACGACGGCATGAGACATCCCTTACATAAGAAGGGCATCTCTCTCTTTCACCCTATGTCAAGACTGTTGTGGCGAATTTATTTTGAGACAGAGCTCGCTTTGTTGCCCGCTAGAGTGAGTGCCGTGGCGTCAGCCTAGCATCACAGCAACTCCAACCCTGGCCTCAAGCATTCTCCTGCCTCAGCCTCCCCAGAGCTGGACTACAGGCGCCCACCATGGCCGGCTAATTTATTTATATAATTAGTTGCCATATAATCATTTTCAATTTAAATAGAGACGGGTTCTTGCTCTGCTCAGGCGGTTCGAACTCACTGACCTCGAGCATCACATCCT